GAAAAGGGGCCTACACAGTTACATCGTTCTTCATATACCCAAGATTTTTTTTTTCTACGTTCATTCGTAACGTTATATCCCCCGATGCCTGGAGATGCTTCACCTCCGTGACTCCGTAACCGTAGTTAAGCAATTCGGCTAGCTATGCCGGCTTTCAGTTCAATACAATTCAGTTTCAGTTCAATTGGTCGACTCTAGGGTGCAGAAATTGTTTTAGTAGCTGATCTACAAACGAAAGAGAAAGTGGAACTTGTAAAAATGAACCCTTCAGAAGAACAAGAAAAAGGAACAGAGGAAAATGCATGCGTAGTAAAGAAGAAGAGTTGAATACCACAAATCCATTACAAATTTAAATAGCGGAATTATCAAAAACTATTAGAATCACATAGGAGAAAGAAAATGATATTTCTGCAAAGTTTTATTTTCTTATCAACAACAATCAGATTAACTTGACAAAAAAGAGATTATCAATGAAGTTTAGCAATCGATATTTGCTATTGGATAGTTTTCAACTTCCGTTTACCGAAAATCGACCTATACAGACACCTCAATCTCCAAAATGCCTCAATTAAGTAAAAACTGATTAATATTACTTGTAGTAAAATAATTCGTTCTTTTCCACTTTGGGGGATTGTTAAAGTCATAAATATAAAGAAAAAATAAATTTAATTGATTAAAAATAATAAAATTTTATGAATAAAATTCTGAAATAGATATTAATAACAGAGTGAAGTAAAAAATCTTTCAGAACATTTTTATATCAGCTACATACTTAAAGGCAAGTAACAAAAATAAAGAAAACTTTCCGAGCCGTTTTTCAGAAAATTTCGAAAATGTCGTAGGGGCGTCATGAAAAGAACTTTCCTCCAAAAGTAAAGGTTCCGTTTCAAATTCGAGGCGACGCGACATCAGCCAAATCGCTCGGGGAATCTCTCTTTGCTGAAAATTCTTTGTTCGCTGCAGGCGTTATGTTGTTGGCTGGCGGACGGGCGGACAGAGGAGGAAATATTTCATGGAGTTTGGTATAATGGTATTTTAGGTAATTGGTTGGCGTTTCCGGGCGTGTAAACTACTAAAATTATTAGTCTAATAGGTGTAGTGTAAGTTATAATCAAGGACTTGGTGATTCTCCCGAGCTGGCAGTGAGATTCGGTGTGGATGTACACGTCTACTTACGGGGCTCCCCTTCCACGTATTTCCGTCAGCGGGTTCCCACATCATCCGAGACAATCTCTAAGTTTCAGACTGGTCTCGCGGTATTTGTGGTAATGTAGTGAATGTAAGTGTATGTCTGCGTGTAAGGGGGGAGGATAGATCAAATAAGAGGAAGAGGAAGGAAAGATCGCGCGCGGTCCGTGGCCCGTTTGTTACCATACTGCTCCGGCATCCGCCTGTTTTGGAAAACTACCGATCAGAGTAGCTTCGCTTTAATAGTGTTTTATGTTGTATAATATTGAAGAGGATGCGAATAATGAGAAATAAACAATGTGTATGCTTATTTACTACCGTAAAGAACGTGCTAAAAAGCTTTGAATCGCGTGCATATAAGGTACGTCGTGTCTCCTTTGTGCACTCGGCGAGCCCTCTTGCATGGTGGACTTGGCTGTTGGGGGCGTGGCGCCCCCTCCCTCCCCGAGCCGCTGGCCCCGCGCGGTCGCCGGCGCTCGAGCGCGGAGGCGACTCCCCGAGCAGAGGACTGCACTGCAAACACAGCGGGCCAAGGAATGTAGGTGGGAATCGTAGGCAGATTGATGGACGCTCAATAATCTGGGGCCAAGAAGGACGCAAGTAAGGCGGTGCGTGTTGGTTAAAATTAGTTTGACCCCATGTAGAATAGGACATCATTCCAAATTAACACGTAATATTATATTAATGCAATAAAACTATAATTTCCGAAGTAATATACTATAAGTGTAGAGAAGTAGTACGTGACAAACGAGACCGTTGTTAACGTCAGCATTAGGCCAGCGCCACGCATGTGGCCTTCTGTGAGTACCGAGTGGAAGTGCGCAGAATTGTGATTAGAGGAAGTGGTGGGCGAATTTTATCCTGTATTAGACCACAACATTCCAACAGGCTGCGCCAAGGGATAGCGCCAAATGTTTTATGCTCGTCAAAGAACAAACAATACATTCTCAGATTCGGCAAGCAGTCGCTCGGAAGTGGCCGAATGCCGCATGTGTAACCTTTAAGCAAAGTCAAGCAGACTTGCGATTGGTTGGTTGGTCGGTTGATTGTTATTAATTACGGGCATGTCAACTACTGAGGGCATTAGCCCCGTACGTGTAGTGCATGTTTTTCCTCGGGAGGTGGCGGTGATCTTTCCTCGCTGGATGCCGACCTACCGTCTGCTAGCAGGGTTTCCCTAACCAGGTATCTTCCACCAGCGGGGCACTTCCCCAGCCGGGACAAGCACTAAGCTCCCGACGTGTGCGGTAGTTCATGTTAGTGTGTGTGCAAGGGGTGAGGATAGGACAAGGAAGAGGAGGGAAATATCGCGCGCGGTCCGTAGCTTGTTTGGATTCCGGCATTCGCTTGCTGTTGATCGGAGAAACCACGGGAAAATACCAATCAGAGCATCCGCCTCTAGAATTCTCCTCCAGACAGCGACTGAATTGGACCTAGCTTACAAGCTAGTGTCGAAAATCTTGCCACTGTTGGGACTAGAACCTAGGACTGTCAGGTCAGAGACCTTTCAGCGATATCAGCTGATGAACTGAGCCACCTCTCCCGATCAGACTTACCGAAAGCACCAGCCGCTCTGCTGGGTTGCCCGAATGGACAAGGCCACTGCGGGCCGGGCGGCGATGGCGGCCTTTGGTTCATGGATTCCTTCGCCTGGGTGCCTCGCGCCCTGCTGGCCCCGTTCAGCGGTCTACCCCCCCTCCCCCTGTCTTTTCATGCTTTCCTGTCGTTGCTCCATATAAGTGTAATATGGCCACGAGCAATTTTTTCGGGCTGTGAATACCTCCCTAAAAGAGATGGCACTGTGGCTTTCGTGGCCACTTTTCACGTGGCCAAATATTCCACTTCGCCGGGAGGGGCCAGGCAGGAAGACAATGCTTTCGGGCCTGAGTGCATTACGAGACGTAGCAGATATGTTCAGCTTTCGAACTTTTCAGATCGAACCTTAATTACTGGTCATTGACTATCCAAATCCTCATTCATCAAATAAAGGACTTGAAAGTTTACTTTGTAGGTCGGTGAGTATTTAACTTACAAAGATGTATTCCAATTTACAAAACCACTGAAATGGGTTCATAGCTGGACTTCGATTTCGTATCAAATGCATAGTTTTTCTTTGCGCAGAGTAATAATTCCCAATTTTTTTGCATTAATTATTTTAACGAATTGTTTGCTTCATCGACTCTCTAACATTTTTATCTGTCATAGCATATATAACCATAATAGAAAGAATTGCACTTTAATGACTAAAATATAATTCCGCCTACCAATATTCTTGTACATATAACAATTTTCAATAATTTCAGACGCTTCCACATCTGACCTGTGTTTCTAATCTTGATCGTTCTTCAGTGGTTACAAAATGCAGTCTATTGAGTGTTTTTCAGAACTGGACATGGCATTTCTGCAGTGCGTAATGCGGATAAACCCTTCCTGAGTGTTAGAGTAATGTTATGAATACGTAGTAATTATGTCTTGAGTTTTCTAATCACCCTATGATGACACAAGAAAGAAGAGCAAATTTGCAATTTAATTTTAGTTGTTTTGTAGCGTAATATCAGATAACATTCAAGTATTAACTTCATATTTTTTAATCAATGGAATCTTGGTTATATCAGTCGCCGGTTCCTATTCGGCTGTTGATCCAAAGTCGACTCAATCTTTTAATGACCTCTTTAAAATTTCATCAACCCCGGGGGGGGGGTCGATACCAAACTCGTTGAGAACCCTTGGTGCAGAGGAAACTAATTAATCGATGAAATATGAAAAGACTAATCTATCTTTACAGTGCAAATTACTGGATATTTTGTGGGCTAGTGCATATAATAGCTTTCTTCTAATATATTGTCCAAGGTAAAAATTTAAAATATTTTCACTTATTTCTCTTGCTTCACTTTTCAATTTTTCACCGAAAAAGACGAGATTACGATTCTTTTCTTTGCAAATAAATTCTAAGCAAATAAACTTCAAGAATTAAAAATAATGAATTGAGCTAATTCAAAAAGCTCGTGGAAAAATTCTACATTCATTCTTCTAAGTTCTCTGAGTATCTTCATAGAGTAGAAGGCACATTGCATTTCATTAAAAAAAAGTAGGTAAACAGTACCGTGCAGGTGTCTTTAATTGTTTTAACCTTAGTTTGAGAACATTCTATTAGTGATTCGAGGGCAGACCGGCGAAACATCTGTAACAAAATGCAAATTTTACAGTCGAGGGGAAAAATTATCATTGTGCACTCTTTTGTATTTTTTCTTAAATCTTCACTGCAATTAATAGTGTCAACTTAATTATTTATTACATCTTCATACATATTTCCCTTCTTTCACGTCAATGGCGCATCAATGATAGGCCTATGTGGCAAAAGTCAAATTTATTGATGAAGCGTTAAGTGAGACTAAGAAGAAATTTACTTATGATTAACAATTATAGTTACTGCTAGTAAGATACTGCACCTAAAACAATCGAACAAAATTAGTCTAGCAAATAAAAGTATAAAACGTAACCTTAACAACCGCCTCTAAAAATTGAAACCGAGATAATTATGTTACACAAAGCATCATTTTTATCTTTCGAACCAAAAATCTAATCTTAAGGTCTAGTGGGTTTTATTAAACAAAAATTACGACTTATTTGTTTCTTTTTACTGTTTCAGAAAACACTAAGCAAGAAAAATGCTGTCTCCCAAGGTGGTGGCATTTGTTATACTCCTGTCTTTCTTCTTTTCAACGGTGTCAACTTCGGAGAAAACATTATCAGGAGCTGAGTTTCTTCAGTCTGTTATACAACATTTACAGAAAGAGAGGACACACGGCACGGATGAAAAAGAAGTAACAATGAACAGATTGTCGTCATCCGAGTCAAATTCCAATTCTGCACCATCAAGCCCTCATAAAGATATGGGAACAATGGAAGGAAATTTTAAGATAACAGCACCAACTCCTGTACCAGCTCAGGTAAGACGTATTTCGTAAAACATATACGTAGGTACTAGATATTTCGAAAACATGGATAAACCAACTCTACTATTCTTTTCTAAAGCATTGTTTTATAATTTAAATAAACGTATATACCTCCAAATTTCCACCATACAATCTACTACACATATCAGTTTCGTTTACTACCAAGAAGTAAGAGAGATGTAACACGACATGAAAAATGCCTTTTTTTGAACAAAAACGTTTTATGGGTTCCTGATCCCGAAAAAATTGATTTTTTTGCTAATATACGTAGTAAATTACTTTCTTGTATACATATGCATACGTGTTGGCAGAATTCACGTTTTGTGGGTGCTTGATATTGAAAACATTTTTTCTTTCTGAAAATGTGTCCATCTGTGGACTCCTGCGCAAATCATAGCAGTTTCAGCAAAATGGATATTCCGCGATCGATCTGGCTGATATCCCTGCCCCTTGAATGTGAAACGTGCTTTTTGGAGTGCACTGTACATGAAGCCCAAGTCATTTTTGACTTCTTTTAAATGAATCAAACATTTTTTTTTTACATTTTTGGCTTGAATAAAGCAAGTACCGCTGATAAAAATGACCCAGGTCCAATTTTCTATAAAAAAATATTTTTTTGAAAATTGTTAAAGTTAAAATTTTTTCGACAACCTCTTACAATTATATTGTTGATTTTTTATTAATGAAATCTATTCATTATTATATCTTTAAATAATGTGATACAGTACAATTTCTCTTAGGAATATTTTAGGTATTCGCGTGGTTTCGAGTGAAATAGTGACAATCCTAAAGAAGTAAACAACAATTTTCTTTAAAACTGCTTCATTTTAATTTTTTGCTCGAATAGAGGATTTGTTTAATAATACGGCATATGTCCTATTTGCATTAAAAGCTCGAATACATATTTGTAAAATTTGAACTATCTTTTTGCGCCGTTGGAAGCGTCTTGCGTACGAAGCCAGTTGCAATATTCGATTTATTAAGTATATAAAAAAAAGAAAAAGAAAAACTGTATGTGATGTATGGGGGAGACGTACCATGTTGCTCCAGTGGGCAGCCCACTTGGCATGCTCTGGCTCAGCCTTAACCCGCGGCCACCCGCTGGGGCCCATTGCTTGTAGTAGAGAAAAAGGTGCAGGTGTCATTTTCACTGAAATTCCGATGTTTCGACAATTGCAAAAGTTCAAATTTCTTTCGGCGTCTTCCTACAATTACAATATTGAAGATAGTGACTCATTTCCTTAATTAAATCTGTTCTTTAAGGACACGTCTTGAAATAAGGCAATTTGTCGAAGATGAGTAGTTTTCGCATAATTTTGGAAGAATTATGGATATATTTTTAATAATATTAAACATTATTTACTAAAAAACGGCTCCAAATAGTTTCTTTCAATTTTCTCCTCGTATCTGTCAAAACGGTAAAAAAAAGTGGTGTTATCATGTCAAATCTCATATCAAATTTTAACAGAGATTTAATAACCTACAAAGTTGAAGATAAAAATGTTTGCTTTAAACAAAATCGGTTCTAAGTCATCAGCTCTAAAAAAAAGCTCATCTGCAGTTTCTTGGGAAGAAAAACTCATTCGTTTCGCCTAACTTCTGCTTTAAATTAATGCAATTTATAAAATAATTTTTAAAAAACGCTCCAAATTTTATCTTCCTTTTTTCTGACGAGTAGAACTAGGAACGCTTAAAAGAATGGTGCAATAGTAAATATAGTAAAAACTAAGCCGGTATCGATAGGGACCAAAAAATCTGGTTAAGGGAGGTTTCGTTTTTGTTATTTCCGTTCTGTAAGTAGTAAACTGTACATTATCTTAATTGAAGACCTACAGTATCTTTGAACAGCATATTTCATTACAGAAAAAAGATCTATCTTCAATATTGTAGTTGTACGAAGAAGCAAAAAAATTGATCTTTTCGAAATTACAAAGATTTTAACGAAAATGCTTGGTGTCGACGAGTCTTGTACCTCCCCAAAATAAAAATAAAATATTTTTAAAAAACCGCATGGCCTCGTGTTCGTTCAAATCCATCAGGAAAAACCAATTTTGGAGAAAATTGTGTGAACAGTTCAGGCTCTAGCGGTCATCACGGACGGACAGACGGGCGTTCTTTTGCCGCCAATCAATTTTTGGGTATCAAGAACCCGCAAAAAGTTGATTCTGACCACACGTCTTCGAAGAAGTAATTTACTACTTATAGGAACGAGATTTATCCACTTTAATACTCCCGATAATTCGTGTTTTTGTCTGTCGAAAAATTGCCAATTTCCGTCGTAATAATTACAATGCTTTCTCTTTACTACTGAGCACGTAGTAAGGCGAGAAAGTAAGAGCTGATAGTTTAAATTGTAAAAATTGCAGCATCCTCACTTTCATTTTTTCCATAAGAAAAATTTGGATTTGAATTTGGAAAAAATTGGATTGGAAAAATTTGGTCCCTTGGAATTTGTGTTAATGGGGGGTTTACTGTACAAGTATAATTTGAAAAGATGTTTCTATTGGTTTGGTAGTATTTATACTTTGGGTAGACCATCCGCTCTGCAAAGCCACAACACCATTGCATATTTGTATGCATTCAATGTGCTGATTACAAGCAATATAATTTTTCTGATTAAACAACAGGTCTTACAACGTTTTGTAGCATTTCACTTTTTGGACACTAAATGCAAACATTGTCTCATTTTATTTAGGAACATGAATCAATGATGTCAATGATGGACACTCTACCAGTGAAGAATTCAGTCCATGACATTCCTGATTTGCCAATGCCACCACTCTCCAAGGCAGAACTTCTCGCTCTTTATCAAGCTGCTGTTAGCAAAAGTGCTTCCCTAGCCAACATAGCAGCCACTAACCCATCAGTAGCTTCCAGCCTCCAAAAACTTCATGCCCTTTTGGCTGCATCCAATAAACCAGACAGTGGAACTATTCCAGGGTACTATTATTATTATTACCCAATTAAAAGCTTTATGCAGGGCACTGACATGAAAAAACCTGAGGTAAGTGGATATATTGTAGAAATCTGTACAATCAGTGGAGTTGAATTAAAATCTCAAGGGAGTGTGCATTCATCCACTTCTGAAAAAAAGTATAACTTGTTAAGAATATGAAAAAAGTCTATGACATAAAATAATTTAAGTGGAATCAAATGACTCAGTTAACTCTATGGCAAAAAGTACATATTGCAATACTCCAATCCTAGATATTTATGAAATGTTACCAATACTACTATTATTATGCACCAACTTAAATGCTGATACCAACTTGCTTTTCACTGCACATTCATTGCTTTACAGATTTTCGAGATATTTTGCCCTATTCAGTCAAATACACACTAATAATCAGTCATTTTAATTTATAAAGGCTGAGCACTAAACATTTCAAATACAATTGTGAAGCCCACAAACCATAAACAGAGGTAGTTGAGGGTTCATTTGAAAACTTGTGGAGTGAGTGAATCTGCAAATTCTGTGTCCTTCCCCTATGATCTGCCTGGTGAAGGGAGGGGTGGGGGAGGGGTGGGGCATGACAGAGGTAGCCTACTTGTCAATTTTAGCCTCTCAGCTCTTTTCATAAATTATGATTTTATTAATTTTTCCACATAATGTCTGCTTGGTGATTTTCTTTTCACTGCATACTACTGAATAAAGAGGATATGAAGTTTTTAATATCATTGCTTTTTTAAAATATTATTTTAACAAAAAAAAAAATTTGTTTAAACAAGAGTTTTGAGTGAATTGGTTCAATAAAATATTATTTTATGAGGAATAAGTCCTTACCCCTGAAATTAGACCTTGGTGGCAGGTCCATCACTATTTCATGAATAGTGTTTTACCATTTATTTTAATGGAATAATGATGCCAAAAAATTCAGTTACAGAAAATCCATTTTAATAAATTAAAAAACAAAGAAACCTAAAATATATTTTGATATCACTTATAACAACAATATTACTTATTATTGATTCATAGGATGCAAATAAAGTTAAGGGAATTTTAAATTCCGGTCTGTGGTACAAAATAGGTTTTTTGCATTACAACAATATCCCGTACAAGTTATAATATGTATTTAAAAGGAATATGTTCTTATACTGTTTCATTCATGGTATCTTTTGTTTCAGCCGGATGCAAAGCATCCAGGTTCCAAGAAACCTATGATGGGTCACATGGTTCCCACTGCTATGATGGTAATGGACAATGGAGAAAAGAATGTGGAACCACTCTTCATGGCTATTGCAGGATTTGTTGGTATGGCATTAATGTTTGCTGCTTCTGTACTATTTTTACCAAAATTTGGTACCCTGCGCTCTAGAGGTATCTCAGCTCTCAAACATGCACCTGATGAATTTGTTGGTCTTACAAAGTTGGTTATGGATGCAATAGAAGGGAAAGACTGCACTGAAAGGATAGCATGTGAAGTAGGTCGTGCAGTAAGGAAAATGAAAATTGATAGTAAACCAATAAGGTAATTGTATTTTAATATCATAATTATTTAAACAAATGATGCTCAAGAAAATGTATATTTGAATTTAATTTATATAAATCAGTTTCTTTAATTAATGCAGGATCTTTTTCTTTCCTTTCAGAATTCTAGAGATATTATTACCCCCACATATTGGAAAGCAACTGATAGAAATCCGCAAAGCAGCAGCAAGGAGAGAAAAATGCAGTTTTATACCATGCAAATCAAACCGCTCAAATTTTACATAAAATGTTCAGAAAATTCGCAGTTCATCCACAACCCAACAAATATGCCAGTTTCATTTCAAACTAACACTGTAAATGATCAGAATTAATTATAGGTTAATTATGCAGGTAAACCTTCAAAAGAAGAAAGAAGATTGGAGAAGCTTTTGTTTCTTGATATCAAAGTGGAGTCAGGGATTTGAAGTGGTATATTTGCAAAAGAAAATACACAATTGAGCATTATTCTTTCTGACATGATTACTTTAAATATAAGCTATTATTTAAGACTGTACAAATTCTTATGATTTAGAGTTTATTAGATATTTTACTCCTAGATTGTATGAAGATATTGTTTGTTCAATGCAATTTAACCAAAAAATAATGAATTATTATGAATGTCTTCATGAACACAGAACATTGATCCATGTTTGTCCAAGATCTCTCTTATTTATAACATCAACAAAGGAAAATAGAAAAATGTCATTCTCATCACTGAGTGGTGTTTGGAAAGCACTTGATCTTATTTTTATTATTGATTTTTTTTTTTTTTTAATTATAAGTTAGCTGTAATAAAATTAGGCAGAGGTGGAGAATCTCATTTCATTATTTGAGGGTAATTTTATTTTCTTGGGTATAGGTCTATGGTGTTTTGAGTTTACACAAAATATATATTCAAGTGTAAACAAAAGTAGGTAAAGATGGCCTTTGTAAATTTTTACATCAAGGCAAATTGATCAGGTTGGCGCACATGTTGCCAATCCAGGTGTTATGGTTGGTATGTTAGTAACATTGCTACATAAACTAGGGATTTGTCGCAGTGTCCAGGTATGGGTGTTGGGAGATTAAATGGTGTTTCGAAATATCTTGTATGAATTACTGTTTGAAGATGGGTTTTAAGGGACTTCTTAGTTTAGAAATGTATAATGTCCAACTACTCTCTTATTCATGAGTAATACCTCCAAATAAAAAGGATGCCATAAGGAAACAAGAAGTTTTCTTAAAATTAATAAAAACGCACTAGATTATTTAGAAATATAAATCCAAAACAAATTCATCCATTACCACTTTGCCATTAAAATTCCCATAAAAATAAAAAATAAACTCAATTACATAAGTTATTAAAAGACTGATGATTAACAATAATTAGTTTCAAAGATTCATAACTTTATATTCATATTCTTTTTTCAAATATTGAGATAATAAGGGACGATCTAATAAATGTCTTTAATACTGAACTTAGAATAATAATCATAAACAGCTTAGATTGTCAATAATTATGTCAAAATTAGTACAAACATTTTATTGTCTTAAATAATACAAAACAAAAATGTTTGAATTGTCTCAGTGGTACTTCTGAAAGGGAGGAGGTTACTATGTATTGGTCTCTTCATCAAAACATTTTGCAATGATGTGAATTACCTTTAATGGTGCCTGAGTTACTGGCTATTTTAAAGCACCAATACGTAGCTATAGTTTTTTTTTAACATACAAATTTATAAAATAACAGGGAAAATACAGAATTCTGATTTCCTATATTTACTTCCATTACTTCCCATGTCCAATACCATACTTGCAAACTAATTTCAATAAGCATTTTCAGGAGGTAATAATCATCTAATGCATTTGATATTGGAAAGTGTTAAAAGAGATTATTTCATATAATTCTTGGAGCAAAGTAGTTTGTTCAAAAAACCTCATTTGGATACCTTTTATTATTTGCAGTAGCATACCCATGAGAAAAATACATTACAAGTCATTACAGCACAAATTAAATTCTTTATTAGAAACCATCAAGCATACTGGACAAAACCTATAGGCTCCCCCTTGAAAATTCCTGGTTGTGCCATTGATTATTTCAATGAACATTGTTTTAAGGTGAATACTTCAAAGCTAATAGTGAGTAGGAATGTGTTTGATATAAGACACTTGAATGAAATGAATGAATTAAGAGAGGCAACTAAGCAATTAAATGAAAAAATAGATGAATAATTTATTAGACCTACAATACAAACTTTGACTTGTGTCACATAGACTATTATGAAATTCAAGAAATTTAAATTTTGCTTAGAGGAAATTCCTAACTAATACACTTCAGCACATTTCTAAAAACACATCTATTAGTACTGAAGATTTCTGCATTAATTTAATTAAAAAAATGTTATTTAATTGGACACAAAAGTATTGTTTTTCTATTTATATTTTATACTTCCAATTATGAGCTAAATTGAAGAAAAACTAGGAAATACAAACAAAAATCTATTACACCAAAACTCTGAAGCACTGACTTCCAATTTTCCATGTCATCACATTTCCACTCAAATACTCATAGAAATATGAAGAGAAAATCAGAATTTTACATTGGATAGTTTCCTCACGATTTCAATTAATCATAAAGGTGATGGTTTGATATGTTTTGGTGAAAGTATTCAAAAGATGTGAGTAATCATTGCATTGAATAGTTCATTACTGTGGGTAATGTGAAGGAATCACAATTGGCTGTGATGTAAATATTCTTTTATTTATTTTCCTATTTATGTATTTTCTTTTCTATGTATTTATTTACTTTTATATGATAATAAAGTAAATTTGTAAGAGAATGTAAAATCAGATTTGGTACATAATTTTTATTATCTGTTCCTTTTAGAAAACCATAAAACATATTTCAATTGCAATGCCATTTAGCACCCTCTCACTACAATTTTTAAGCCCAATATGCCTTCCCAAAGATTGTCCCTGAATCACGAGCATCACCAGTATTAAATTATCCCCCATCCCCCAGTGAAGGTTGTATGCCTGAATGAACTCAAGACGTAAAGGTGAAGGATTCTAAAATAACAATGAAACAGTAATTTATTTATGTGAACTTATTCAAGAAAATACAATAAATAAATAAATAAAAGGAGCACCTGATGGAATAGTTACCAGGCCTCCTGCACTGCAGTCAGGACACATCTATACCCCACTAATAGTTCATAATGATGACAATGTCTTTTTAGACATCTTCAATTTTTAACAAATTGAAAATGGAATGCTGCTTTATTTTTAAATAGTATATAATAAATGTTTATCAATAATCATTTACTGCTCAATATTACTAATGTCATAAAAGTGAGCAACAATATGACATTTTTTTCCAGCAAGTACATTAATACTTATATTTATATTAAATTAATAGTACATCGTTAAGCTAGTTGGTTCTTTTCATAGAGACAGAAAATAATACAATAATTACATGAAAAAATGAATTCTAAAACACCATAAAATCACAGTTTGATGCTACACAAGTTACAGGTATTACTGGAATCATCTTGTCATATGATTCCACATGGCATTCAGAATTTGAAATTCTCAATTTCAAACATGTATCTCTATATACGGGGGTAAATCTAAAAAATATATTTAGAATGTTTAAAGGTAAAATATTACTCAAAAATGTTTATCTCAAAATTCTGATAAGAGGACATTTGTTGATTAGAAATGTATGGCTTTATAAGCTTCAAGTTTTAGTTGACTATAATTATTGTTAAATTGACTCTAAATTTCCATGATGTAATACAGCAAATGTTTCGCTCAGATACAATTTAAAAATAAGATAAGAAAATTATTATTCCACTGATATTTGTATCAATTAATGTTGACACAAAGGTTTCAAATAATTTCTAATTTACAATTTCATAAAGGATAGCTGCCCAGATTTTGTCTTCTGTTAGGAGAAGTTACGTAAAAAAAAAAAAAAAACTGATTCCGTTCATAAAAATACTAGCTTGGTTTATTTCAATATTGACATCAACTTCTTTGCCATCACAATTGGATTTGTAAGAAAAATTTGCAGATTGAGAGGAGGGGAATGTTTTCTCCTTTCTCATACATGAGCCACGTTCTTTCTGGAAGGGTATTTTCGAGCAAGGGTATCCATTCTTATGTAGCCTTGGTTAAAAGAAGTATAGGCGATTGGTCACTCGCCTTGACGCGTGGGAAAAATTGTCATTAAAGCACTTACTTGCGAGAAAGAAGATTTCTCTGGAACCATTATTCTGTTAGGTCTACTATATGCGGAAAATTTTTATAACATTGCTGCTGAAATGCCTTCTTCAGCCAAGTCTGCAAGTCTGCTCAAATGCAAGATTTCATGTCCAGTGCCCAACGTGCCTCTCGCCGTTCTAGACGAGGCTCGTTAAACCGCACCCGCACGAGCTACTTGCCCGCCTGGGAAGCTCAGCGCTCCTACGAGCACGGGAAACTTCCCCTGATTACGCTTCTCTTTCCCCTCCAAATACACAAAAAAGTCTCCGTAAGTTAACAATTCTCTCGTACGGACGGACAGAGCTTTTGATCTTGGTCTGTTAAACCTCCTAATCTAAATAGAGAAAGTCAATCTTGTTATATCACTCTTAAGTGAGTATGATACAAAATCAAGATACTTTCAATTCAAAATGTCTAATTTTACCATCAGCTAAAAAATTGTGATCTGACTTTATATATATATATATATATATATAATTTTAATTGATCATTTCGTTCCATTAAAGAGAGAATGGGAATTAATATAGCTAAATTTGTGACAAAAATGATCAAGAAACGTCTTCCAAAGACTGTCGTGAGATAGGTATCCAGTGACTTAGGGCCATTGGATTCCGGAAAAAATGTACAACTGTGTCAACAAACGTGTTCGTAGGTAAAAATGAAAATGCTCGACCGCGTCCCGAACCTCTCAGTTCCGAGAGAATGTGTTCGCTCGGTGTCTGCATTCGTTTACACGGAACGAACGTGCCGAGCGAACATTCGTTTGTTTCCTTCAACCGATCTCGTCCGAACAACACGATTCGCTCGGGTGTTGTTTCCACCGGCTGAGCGAACGAATTGTTTGTTTGGAAGCGTTCGCTCGGGCAGTATAAACGCACCTTAACACATAACATTCTTAAAGAAGAGAATTTTAACATTCTAATACAATATTTTACACAATGTTATATTATATAACAATTTTGGTTAGTCCCGAACCAATAACACAGACACACAAAATTCAGAAAATTGTAAATAAGAAAATAAAAAAGACCCAATGACTTGACACGTTTCTTTAGGTAAGTCAACGCACTAAATTCGAATCTGAAGCCAGAATTGCGTCACCACCGTCCAGGTTTTTTAATTGCGAAAAAAAACAATGAAATTGACAATTTACAAGTTTACGGTGATTTTTTGCGATTTACAAAAAACGGGAAAGAGGTGGCGCAATTCGGGCTACAGAATCGAATTAAGCGTGTCAACATACATAGAGAAATATGTGTCAAGTCATTGGGTCTGACAATAGTGGGTCTCCTACTTGAGCAGTCCAGCCCTGGTTCTGTCTTAAGCAGGCTTTACACTGGTAAGAGATTGTAGTTGCATCAACTGCTTGCACTGGTCTTTACATTGACTAGCGCTAGAAAATGTAAGCAATTTCCGAAGTCCGTATTGCCAGTCGAAGCAATTTTATTCTAGAAAGCAATTGCCTAACCATTCACAGTGAAGCAAGTCGCAATTTTTTTGGTGTAACGTGCGGTCACCTTCATAGAACGGCTGTATTAATTAAATACCAGTCGCGAGTCGTCCAGTCATCGATAGATGCGGCGATGACCAAACAGAAGTATAAAAGCTATGAATTTTCGATATTTTAGAGAAGAATTGAGTATTTGAATAAGATTTTTTACTAATAAGTAAAAATCTACAAATATGATAGTAGTAAAAACACTCCTAGTGGTGCTACAACAGCACACTTTATCGCATTATTTCTAAATTTGCAATTTTCGAAAATTCAGAGAGTTCAACGAAAATCAGATCTGCGATATTATTTTAAGCATTCCTTATTTGATTCATAAAAATAACACCGAGGAAAAAATTTGGGCCAGTTTTTTTAGAAAATCATATCATTATAATTAACACCAAAGTGTTTTTCCTTCCTCCTGTAATTTTTTTTATTATCATTAACGACAATATGCATCCGAAAGAGTTGCGAAGATTCGACGTGAACCAGGATATGAAGGGAGAAAGGGTGCAGTCCTTGGGCAGGAGACTTCCGACGATGTGATAGGACATGTTTTGTACGCTTGCTACCGAATCCACGTTTTCAGGCAAGGTTCAAATGAAGACCATGCGGGGTGAAGTATTTTTCTGAGAGAGAGGCTTGCTGAAATAGTTGAACATGTTTTGTGAGATGCAGATTAAGTTAATTGTTTGCGTGTCTGGTTTATTTGCACAGTGTTGGTCTGTTGTACTGGAAGAGCAGAGTCGGGACGATGTTTGTGTTTTGGGCCGACGTAATTCGTCAACATGTTGTTCAGGTGTAAAATGACCGTCAAAACTGATGTCATTCTGCCCTCTTAGGTTGATGGCTGAATCCAGCTTGGTGTGACTTTTTATGTGGTTGTCTAACTCTCTTGTCACTTCGGGAAACCTCCCTTTAGGTTTTAACACAGAACACAGGTGTGACAGAAACGCAGGATAGGAGCTTCCCACCATATATATATATATATATATATATATATATATATATATATATATATATATATATATATATATATAATCTGCTGTATTATCCTGTTATTAAAAATCTGACGGAAACTTCTACAAATCATCAGCATTTTTACTTCGATAATAAAAAGTTAATACTTATTCTACAGATTTACAGTTTTTTGTCTTTGAGCTGATTAATGGCTTGAATTATCTTTATTTTGCACATTCACAAGTTCCATACGGTATTTCTTTCGTATAAATGTTCTTACGGAAATATCTTTTACACTGGTCTTCAAGATGTCTTCCGTCTACATGCCGTCGGTGGGATGTACTCGCGATGCTCCTGCTATCGTCGTAAATTCTGGTAGCGGGAGAATTTTTTTTTGGATGTTTCCCGAAAATCCTAACTGATAGAAAATAATATTCTATAATCCGATCTAAAAAATGCGGGCAACTTTCCCTTCCTGCGCCTCGGGTGAAGCGCATACTCGCGACTGCCTGTCATTTTATTTAACTTAAAACATTTTATAATGTCTAGATACGAATCTATTCTACATTAATTTCGCATTTAACGTATTTTAAAATTACATTTGCCAAAATCTACGAACAATATTGCCTTGGAACTTTTTGAACTTAAACTTCAGGTAAATACGGAGAAAACCAAACTGTGTGTAATGCTACAGAGGCACATTAACGTTCTTTCGTTCGACTTCTCACATTTATATTTTGAAGAGTGCAAATGCCCATTTTCAAATGAATATAACAACTTATTCTTATTAAAACGTAACTACCACTTTATTAACATACAAAACAGTCGCCTTTTAATCTTTATTTATCTAAATAATTTATCGCCTGCAAAACGATAAATAGAACAATTGCAGAAGTAGAAGGGAACACAATTAGACTGCCTTTGTGGAGTTTTAATCTCTTCAAAAACTAGGGGACAAAAACATGGAAGTGTTAAGCAAATTCAGGGAAGAATAAAATGTAGTTGTAGAATATTTGCGATAGAATTTTGGGAACTAATTGAGAATGATCTTAATAAAGGATATCGCTGAAGAGCCGCTTACAGATGATTTTTATGTGCATATTAGCAAAAAAATGTTTCTGTACTAAAATCCAACCATTCAGCATCATTCGTACCTGCAAGTATTTTTACGGCGTTTATAATTTTGAAATTGCAATATTACGCGTTTATATCCCCTATGGAGGTAACATACAAGGCCACTAGAGGTTGGAAATATTTGAACATGAGTAATACATTATTAGCAACTACAATTCATTGGTATGTCCAATGCTAGAGACTGTAAGAACTTATTTGAACAAAGCTATGGATGATGTAAATTTTCAACACATGAAAATACTTTCAAAACAGTTTACAGCGTCGGTGACGCCACATTCAGCTAATCCCAACTTACAATTTGGGTAACTGCGAGTATGCGTGGGTGCGGATATAATTTTGTCACTTACAGTTGGATCACTTCCCATCCACCAATCGAAACATATTAGGTGTCACTCGACGCACCTCGTTCTCCGGGAGCGGAACTGATAATTTGTTTTCGGAAGATTCTAAGGAATTTCTAAATACGTTGTTTGTTGTGGCAAACTTAATAAATTTGAATAACTTCATGCGATTACTGTTCTCACAGTTACGTTCTTAACTGTGCAAATACCGATTTTCAAATGAATGTGACTAACAACTTATTCTTATTAAACTTAACACCTTATCCACATAAACATACAAAAATGGCGCATTTTACTGTTTGCATGTATTCGCCTACAAAAGGATTATTAGAGAAATTACAGAAGTAAAAGTTAATACAACTTAGACTGAATTTGTGGAGTTTCAATCATTTCAAATATGTAGGGACAAAAATATGGAAGTGGAAAGCAAATCCGAGGAAGAATAAATGTAGTTGTAGATTTTGGGACAGAATTTTTGGAACTAATTGAGAATGAACTTTTTAGAGAAAAACGCTGAAGAACAGCTTACGGATGATATTTTATGTGCATTTTTGTTTATATTAGCAAACACGCGTTCAAAATGGAAACTGTACTAAATTCTAACTATTCGAACGATCCATATCTGCCAAAACGTAAATTGAATGTAATAGTCTGAAAGGATATTTTATTTTTATTGTACAATATTATTTAGAATTGTAAAAACGTAGGTTCATTCAATAAATTATTTACATTACAAATTTCCTAGTTTTTAATATTTCGAATGCCGAAAAATAAATGCTTCTCACGAAACGTTTCGTGAGTCTGCAATGTGATAAAAATCATGTTTTCCAGCATTACTTAAAATATATGAAAGCGTAGTCGGAAGACTTTAGGCCGGTCCAATTTATTATATATTTATCCCTATCAGGGGGTAATTTAAAACTTTATTACCAGGATTATACACCCAATATTTTATATTGAATTGTAATCCCCCCCCCCTTAAATTTTATTTCTCGACAAATTTTCTATTGCTATTTCTCTACATCACCTTAATTGAATAATATTTTCAAATAGGTAGGTCACTACTGACTGTTGATCTTTACATTTTGCAGACCATTCTCTTGTAATGAGTTTTCCTTGATGAAAATTCAGTGGGGCATGTGTCTACATTGAATTCCATAGCAAAATCAGTATTGAGTGCGTGTGCTCTGTATTTAGTGGTAACTGTTTCGGAGTTTCCATCATGATCTATTGGTTCATG